ATTATTTGATGTTTCTCTCTATCGCTCAGATCTTACTGAAGGAGAAAAGTAAAGAGAAAATTCAAAATTTCAAACACTTGTCGGAAATTTGAGATTCAGACTCTTAGCTTCAAGTTTCCCTTTGTTTTACCTCCAACCTTTAATTTTTTTCACTCTTGCTCTCTCAACAACACCAACGACTATAACATATTGAAAATATACAACAGAATGACCGACAAAAGCTTTACTGTAATTTTGCATATGTCCTGTCCTCCCCCATATTCATAAAGATGGGTATTTATCTCCGTATGTTGCAGATAAATGTTAAAAGTCTTAGAAATATAGAAGGGCTATTTATGTTCAGTTCTTCACTCCTTCCTTCCTTGTATTACCTCTGGTAATAGTAAAAGAAAACAGGAGAAAATAGGAATTGAGTGCATAGGGGATTAATTGAAGAGGACTTGATTTTCTTTATAAGCTAATGACATGCAAAGAAAATGGTATCAATTGGGTTTTGATTGTGTTATTGGAAGGAAAATTGCCTAGGCGAGCATGCATTATATGGTTAGATATTGCCTGTTTGAATTTTAAATATGTTTTTTTTCTTCTTTTAAAATAAAGAACTACGTCTTTTTTCTTTTGCTTTTTCTTTTTTGAGGTATCACAATCCAGACATGGATGAATGATCTTTAAGCTGATATTGGGATTCATGTAAGCTGATATTGCAATATCGAATTACATGAGAGTATGTAAATAAACATAAATCCAAATTGGTCCATTCTTATGATAAGCGTCTTGTCATTATACTTTACATATATTTGCAGTATGCGTTCTCATGTTTATCGTGAAATATTTTGCTTAAACAAAGTAATGGTAAACATGCCACAATCTCTTGGGAATTAGTACTCGTAGATTTTATCCTATATTCAAAATGTATCATTCATCTAAATAGATTTTGAAGAAGCCAAAAAACTAGCTACTATAATGTTCTTCAGTTTCGAATATAATATCCAGTTCATTCTTTATTCAAGTTGTGATGTTAATGATAGCCATAATAGTTCTTAAATTTTTGTTTGATTAGATAGCATTAGTAGTTCTTAAATTTTTGGTTTTGGTAGGAGAAGAAACATGGTGAATGAGGAAGGTTCATCAAAACTCATACACGGAAAGACTGGGTTGCCATTGTTTAGGAAAGACTTTTATGATAAAGCTGAAAAGAAGTATAAGAGATTGAGGGAAGGACATAACGATGTGTTAAAGGCATGGAAGGGAATGCACAATGAGGAAAAAGAAAAATATGTTGAGAAGGGAAAGCAATTAAGGCCTGAAAAGATCAGAAGGAATTGTAAGTCAGCTTTTCAAACGCGTACCTCTCTCCGACAATTCAAGGATCTGGCTGAATTTGTAAAGGCGAACAATGATTTAAGGGAGAGGGTGGAAAAAATTGGATTTGGAAGGTTGCTTGATGTGTCGTGTGATAGACTCCCCCGTGACATTTGTGTAAGTTTGATAAGAGCATATGATCCACCAACATATCAATTTCGTATTCGGGGGAAGACAGAAGAAATGAGACCGCAACATGTGCACATTTTGTTCGACCTACCCCATAGCGGGGCAAAGGTGAATATGAAAGTAGGTGATCATGATCCAGCATATGAGGAGGTCAAGGGGCAATATTTTAAAATGCCATATAACAAAATATTGGCCATGATCAAATCTGGTGTAAATAATGAGAAGTTTGAATTTTTGTTTGTGCTATACACTCTTGGGACTCTTTTATGTCCCACTGCGAGTGCAAGAGTCAGTGAACGGTTGTTGAGGGTTGTGTGGTGCACAAATAATGCATTTCAACAGTATGATTGGGCAACCTATTTGATGAATGAGCTATGCAAGGAAATAGAAGATTATGTTAAAGTGATGAGGAAGAAGAAGGATGGCCAGTTCAACGTGGGTGGGTGCCTCTATTTCTTATTGGTATGCATTTTTCTTTTGACCAATTATTGGTATATATATCCAATTATGCTATTTTCTACTATTTTTGTCTATAAGATACTGTTTAAAGTTGTATGATTAATGATGCAGATCTATTTTTTTGGAGTATTTCCCACTGCTTAAAGCTGATGAGCATGAGCCTAGGGATGCAGTTGCGTTTTGGACTAATGAGAGGGTATGGAATATGTGTAAGAAAGAGAGTACAAGCTGTATGGGCATTTTGTATGAAGGAAGTGGTGTTGAAATGAGGACTAGGAAAGAGGAAAGAGCAACAATTGCCTATCTAGACCCGGTATAGAAATGATTATTATAATTATTGTGTTAGTTCTTGTTACGTCTGATACTTTGAATTGTTTTGTGTAGGAGTTGAAGGAGTTACACTCAACTTTGATGAATGCGATTGAAGAAAACCATAGAAGGCTCATTAATGTAGTTGAGGAGAAACTCATGAAGGTACAACTAAAGAGGGAGAGACACCAAAAATCAGAGCAAAGGGTGCATGGACATGAAGAAAATGATGAAGATAAAGATGTACAATATGGAGATGATGAAAATATTCATGTGGAAGATGAGTTTATTGGAGATGAAGGGGATGAATCAAGTGCAGATTCTAAAGCTAAAAATGAGGAGGAGGAAGAAGCATCATACCAGGAAAATATCAATGTGGAAGATGTGTTTAGTGGAGATGGAGGGGATAGATCAAGTACAGAATCTCAAAATGAAGAAGAGGACCAAATTAAGCACAGAGATCAACCCCGGAGATCAATGAGGACTAAAAGGCCAACAATTAAGTCCCCTTGGGTTTTGTCAAAGCCGATTAAGAGGACAAAAACAAAGATGGATGAGAAGGACACCTTTTCCATCTTGGTCTCTCATACATGCACGATTGAAGAGGGTAAAAAGATATTGGTAGAAATGTATGATGACAGCTTGACTCGCGACAACCTTAGATGTTTGGGTGGTATTCAAAAAGTAAATAATAGGGTCAGTATCTTACTTGTGAAATGAACTTTTGATAATTGATATATTATCCCTATGAATATGAACATGTTTTTCATCAAACACAGGTGATGTCAATGGTGTGTAAAACATTAATGGGCGAAATGAAAACCAAGGGACAACTTAGGCGACACATATTTGATGCTGACTTCATGGTTTTTGATCTTATTCCATCACTTGTTTTAGTTTTTATCTTGTCATTTTTTTGTAATTAGATGATGTGCAATATTTGTAGATGAAAATGTTGATCAACCCCTATGATTGGAAAGCATCAGACAATGAGAAGCAAATTTTGCCTACATATTTGGGATATAATTTAGGCAATTGTGACTTGATATTCGGTCCATCTCTTGTAGACAATCACTGGTTTTGTTATGTTCTTGAGGTGAGGACTATGAAGTTTTATGTATTAGATTCATTGAAAGGTCATGTAAATGACCAACATAAGAAGAAGCAGAAGAAAGAGAGTATCACAGAAGATCCAAGGATCACTAAGGTGAAAGCATGTGTATGGATATTTTGTGCCTTTATTAATTTTTTGATAATATATTTGTTTGAATAAGTTGTAGTCTAATTATTGAATTGATTGTGTTTGCAGAGAGATAGATTCCATGATATTATTAATTTAGTTAAGCCTGAGCTGATTAGAAAGAAGCCAATGAGTGATATAATTTGGGCTGTTGTACCACAACAAAATAATCTGTACGTGTTATGATTTACATCATTTAACAGATATTTTGCATGTGGTTATGAGTAGAAGAATTAATACTTTTTATTGGTTTATGTGTGCAGTAGAGATTGTGGTGTCCATGTGTTATATTGGTTGAGATCGTGGGACCCATCCGCTGTATTAAATTACACAGACGTACAATTATGGACTTGTAATGTTGATTTGATTTTATAATGTGTATGTTACTTGGTAAATTAACATGTAATTTTCACTCGTATGCAGGAAGAAATTTCCAAGTTTAGGAGGGATCTTTTGTGGTGGCTTGTCAATCATCATGAAAATTCAAAACGTGAAGATGCTATAAAGTTGCTTTCAAATCCAAAGAACCCGTTTCCTGGGAAAAGGAGGCGTTTTGGAATGTAGGATGTAGGGGTTTGTCTGTGTGTATGCTGATAGGTTAGGTGGCAACGTTTTGAAGTATTTGAAGTTGATAGCTTTGTTTAGGAGCCACTTTGCCTTGTATTTTTGTCATTTTTCTCTTGGAATTATTGGATTGATATATTGTTTTGCTGTAGTTTTTTAGATGCCACATAGTATATAAAAATTAACATGTTCTATTTCATAGTTAACAAGTTTAAGTTCTAAATTAACAATTTATGGTTACATAACATACCAACAATTAAGTTCTAAATTAACATATTCTATTTTACAGTTAATATGTTTCAATTCTAAATTAACAACTTTATGTCTTCATGACACACTCACAATAAGTCTTTTGCTAAAATTTGATCACAATAAAACCTTGACAAATAACAAGTTCAATTACGTTGTTAACAAGTTTAAGCTCTAAATTAACAACTTCCTTATCCTTGTAGCATACTTGCAGTAAGTATTGACAAAAAACCATATTACATTATATCGTTGAAAATTAACACGTTCTCTTTCATAATTAACATATTTCAATTCTAAATTAACAACTTCATGTTTTCATGACACACTCGCAATAAGTTTTTCACCAAAACTTGATCACAATACAACCTTGACAAATAACAAGTTCAACTACGTAGTTAACAATTTTCCTATCTCTATAGCACACTTGTAGTAAGTATTGACAAAAACCATATCACACTGCATCCTCGAAAATTAACATGTTCGATTTCACAATTACCATGTTTCAATTCTAAATTAACAACTTTATGTCTTCATGATACACTTGCAATAAGTCTTGGGCTAAAACTTGATCACAATAAAATCTTGACAAATAACAAGTTCAATTACATAGTTAACAAGTTTAAGTTCTAAACTAACAACTTCCCTATTCCTATAGCATACTTGCAATATGTTTTTGACTAAAAAAATTTCAATATGGGTTTGGATTTTTGCACGTCCTTCTTGTGTGACCAGCTTCATGGCATGTTCCACAGTAGTAAGTCTTCTTATTTTGGAATTGTGATTCACGTCGCTTAATTCTTGGCCGTCCAGGAGGTCGACTTGTGCGGGGTGGTTGGAGGAAGGTTTGGCCTAAAATATTTTCCATCCTATAGTCATTAATATCTGGCATGTCAATTGTCACAACTGGAATCATGCTCCGATTATAAATCTTTTGTTGAGATGTAATTTTATAGCATTCCTCAACATAATCATACACATTTCCATGGGCAAGCTTGATGGCTGCACAAGCATGTGCACATGGAATCCCTGACATTTGCCATGCTCCACAGCTACATTCATGTAAACCTAGATCAACTTCTAAGTCTCCATAAGCTGTATGAACACATGCCCTATTCCCTCCATAAGATACAGGAAACATGTGTTCAGTTCTCATCACATTTTCCATCAATACAGCCTCGATGTTTGGCCCAACACCATTCCTCCACTTACTGATTGCCATGGCTGATGCGTGCATCTTCTTTGCTACTTTTTCTCGATGTTCATGGATTAACTGTGCAACATTATGCCTTCTTTCCTTCACCATCCATGCATTGAATGACTCAGCAATATTAGTTGTTATATTATCCTATCGTTTAAATGGGAATTGACTTAAAGCCCACCTATCAATATCACCATGATTCACAAGCCATTCAAATAACTCTTGAGACATATCCCTCATATGTCCTATTGCCTTATCAAACTCAGTTTCAAGTCTTGCATAAGCAATATCATCAAGCAACTTTAGTGCATCAACCTTACTCTTAGCACTTGTCCTTCCCCTTCCTCTATTTATTTTCATCCATTCTGAACTAAAGTTTTCCTTCACATGGCAATAGCAAAATGCATGTCTATCACTACCAAATATGACTCGTACAGCTCCTATTATAGCATTATGACGGTCTGAAACTATGGTCAGCTCAATTGACCCTGTTATCTGTCTAATCTTGGATAAAAACCATGTCCAGTCCTCTAATATCTCCCCATTCACAATAGCAATTGCAAATGGTAGTAACTCATTGTCTGCATCATATGTGGAGGCTGACAACAAGGTTCCTTTATATGGGCCACTTAAATGAGTACCATCTATATATAATATATGTCTTGCCCTAACCAAGAACCCCTCAATACAACAACCATATGCTATAAAAACACGCTCAAATATGTAATTGTTTGAAGCTTCCCATTCAGCAACTGTTGTCGAATCACTTTCCTTTAGTCGTTGACATATCCATGGTATAAGCATATAAGATTGATCTGGTCTGCCTTGAATATCCTCTATTGCTTTTAATTTAGCAGCATATGCTTGTTTATATGTCAGATTTACTCCATATTCTCTCTGTAATGTCTTCATAATTTCACTAGGGCGCTTATCTATGTGTGATCTAAATCTTCAATAATAATAGATGATGTTAGAGCAGCTCTTCCCCTATGGTTTACTTGAAGACAATCTTGTGCATGGTGAACATGCTCATTATTGAATCACGTCACACGAAGGAAAGGGGTATTCTTTCCTACTGCATTTGCAGTTATCTTCCAAGGACATCCTTCGATTTTACATTTCACAGACATTCTTTCTTTGCTGTTCCTCACAAACTTGTATTGAAACTTGTTAGCAATACTATATTTGTGTAGCAGCCGTTTGAAAGCATCAGCGTTCGGAAAGATTTGTGATAATCCTGAAAATATCTCTTTCCATTTCAATGAGTTCAACTCAGGAAAAGGTGTGGGTGCACTTTGTACTCCACATGGTGTGCTACTAGGTCCCCCACAGCTTTCATAAGTAACACCATTTTGATGAGATGCAAGTTCAGGTTCATTATTGAAATTTCTTGGAGAAAAAGAGCTTTGTTCTGGCTGCCTCACGCTTGTATGCATGCTGCATTATATGACCACAACGTTTGTTATTTTATTAACAAGAATATTCTAACAAATAACAGCTTATTTTTTTGAGAAAAACAACTAACTTACATTTATGGATCACCACTTGCTTCTTCTGCATTGCCATTCCTTTTACATGCTATATAGACATGGCCACTCCTCTCATTATATTGAAAAAGATTTGCAAGTTCCTCATCATCAACAAGATCTATTAGAGTCTTCTGATCAAAAGACACTGTGTATTTCATCTCACTATTATTAATGTCATTTCCAATCCATGAATATATTATTACTCTCATTTCTTCAAGTGTCATACCCTCTCTTATGTTTCTTACCCTAACACTCCCCCCATCATATTGAATTTCACCTTCAAGATTCTTGACAAATTGTCCACCAACATGAAAATAACAAAATAATCCTTTTGCTAATGTTAATCCTGAAGTAGATGCCATTTTTTATGCCAACCTGCAATAAAAAAGGGACTACTAACTAGTCATAATCATTATCAATTTTTTCGATCAACAAAATAGAATATAAATTTTTTTCAATCAACAAAATAGAATATAGCTTCTGAAATTAACAACTTTTACTTAGATCTTAACATGTTTCACTTAGCTATTAGCACTAATGTGTCTCTCATAACCATGATAATTTCCACCTTTTACAATCAATATAACAGAACCTACCTTCAAAATTTATTAACTTCAACTTAGATTTTAACACATTTCACTTAGCTATTGACATAAAACATGGCCCTTATAGTTATGATCATGATCACTTCTTACAATAACATAACATAATCCACCTTCAAATTTTAACAACTTCAAATCATGTTTTAACACGTTATACTTAGCTATTAACAACATACACAACCCTCATAGCATTTTTCTATTAAACTTTTACGATCAAGCAAATATAATCAGTCATCATGCATATCTATTCATTGTAAACGCTGCATCACACAGATACATCAACCTTCCTACTCATCCTAAAAGCAGCACTCCGTACTCTCATTTAGCTATTTTCATGATGCACTTCTTATTGTACAGCAAATTTTCCTTCCTCCCCTACAAAAACCCCATCGCCCACAATCCATACTAAGAAAAGGAAGGACCAAGATAGCATGATGAAATTTTCAGGATTAAGATGAAAAGACTTAATATAAAAAGCTAACTTACCTTTGCTTTCTTGTTTGATTTTTCGACTTTGGAATGATAGACGTCAAGTTCGCTCCTTCAGAACTTACGTTAGGCAGGAGTGATAAATAATATACATCTTTTTAGGTTTATAATAAAAGGACATTACAGTAATTTTATTAAATTTTTAAATCCTTATTTGGGCTATGCAACCTAATTAGGAATTAATGAAATTTAATAGCCCAAATGGGGATTTGGGTTATTAAGCCGTCTTTTAAAGGGATTTTCCCTAAAAATTATATATTTAAAGTATGATTACTTTTATTAAAAAAATTAATCATAATCTATCCTCCAATCGTACCTTTTCAATATCCCAATGAAACAGTTCTTTAAATTAACTATAAAATCTTGGAATAGGTGTAATGAAAAAACCCTAGAACAGATTGTAATCAAGATGCATCTACATCCGCATCCTTTAAATGGCAATATTAATTACCAAAGGATAAATTTTATTTTAGAATCAAAATAATTAATATTTATTTCATGTTTTGATTTCTATGAAATTGAAATCATTATATTATTCAGTTTCAATATTTTGATAAAACATTTAATTGTTCATTAGATTAAAAATAATGATAATCAAATTCTACTTTTGCCTCCACGTTACCCTCCCCACTAATTTATTTTTTCCAATATCCATATATGAATTATCAAAAACATACCGCTTCCCTATTAATTATAAGATCAAGTTAATTTCATCATTTCAAATAGGTTTAATTTATTCATAATTATTTAAATAACAAAGTCTAAAAATTATGTTGGCAAAAGGAAAACAGAGTTTGAGCTTATTCCAGACCCCAAAAAAAAAAAAAAGTTAAGCTTATTCAAAGCATACCCATCCACAAAATTTTTTTTTTTTAAATGTGTGTATTACTTTTACCTATCTCCCTTATTTCATTTTTACAATGAAAAATCGGGGATAAAACTTTCATTCCTGGATTAACTGGGGATCCTTGGGATAAGGGGGATTGTCTCTACTAACTTCTCTTTTTATTTTCTTTCCACTTAATTTCTCTATCATTGGATTAACTTCTAATGGTTGAGATTTAAAATTGAGTAAAAATATTATTATAATATTAAATATAATAAAAATTTATCAGATTAAACTACTTCTATCAAATTTTTTTTTTTATAGCTAACAGGAATCCTTACATCAAGCCGTCGCTTATACCTATGCGATCAGCACGCAAAATATCCGAAAGGGCACTAGGAGCAGAAGTCACCATATGAAATCCATTAAACGCCATAAGCCCTCCTTTGCAAGATAGTCAGTTGCCGTATTATGCGCCCTACTCACATGCTGAAAATGAACGTCCCAGTCCCAATGAACCATCTGGTGGATCTCCTTAATAATGTCGTAATCAGCATGGTGTTCTTCCGGATGGGTGGAGATCAAATCCATAGCATTACTAGAGTCAGATTCCAGTATAATTCGACGATAGCCGCTGTCCCAAGCAAGTTTAAGCCCAAGCAGGCACACCCATAGCTCTGCATGGAGTGCATCACCATTATCAAGTCTCTGAATAAATCCACAAACAAATTGTCCAGTCTCGTTCCTCAGTAGACCACCACATGCACAGGCCATGTGAAGAGAAGAGAAAGCTCCGTCAACATTCAACTTGATCCACCCTTGTGCTGGGGGTTGCCAACTATGATTACTAGAGTGTAGACTTATACCTGGTAAAATAGCACTTGATAAATGTCTCTGAGTCTGCTGTAAGTTGTCCAAAATAGCAGTGGAGTTAGTAATAAGCGCTTCATTAGTAATCAGTTTTCCTTCAAAAATGAAGAGATTGCGCATGTGCCAAAGCCACCAGCAAACAATAGAAAAAAGGTCCTTCCAATATTCTCCATTTACCGATCTAGTAGTGATGTTCCAACCTATCCATTGGTGAAAAGATAAAGCCGGATCAAAAAATCTTTTCCATTTAGATCGATGAATTAACTTGCTCCATAGAAACCTTGTCTCACGACAGTCACGGAAGACGTGAAGGGAGTCTTCAATATCTCTCTTACAAACTGGACACATAGCATCTTCCGTCAGTCCCCGTTTATATCTCGCTGCATTTGTTAGGAGACCCTTCCTTATCGCAAGCCACATAGTTGAACGACAACGTTGAGGAACACGAAGCGTCCATATTTTCCCCCAAAGTGGATCATTACCAGAATCAGCCATGGAAATATAATTATACGCGGACTTTACTGTAAAAAGGCCATTACGTTCAAATTTCCACCTCGCCAAAGAACCATTATTTGTGATCTCTATCCCATCTTCCACCCTTCTCCAGATTTTTTTAATACCAGCCCAAACATTTGAGCCGCTTCTTTCCGCATCAATCTTTGGCATAAGATCCTTCCCACAGCGATATTTATCTCGAATCACTCTAACCCAGAAATCATCTCGACAATGAACCAGTTTCCAGCCAAGTTTCATAAGATGAGCATGATTCTGTAGCTTTGCATGTCTTAAGCCAATACCTCCTTTCGACTTAGGTTGACAAAGCACGTCCCAAGCAACAAGTGGTATCTTCTTCTTTTCTTCCGAATTCCCCCAAAGAAAGCTTCGATTATACTTATCCAGGTTCTCACAAGAGGTAGCAGGAAGTAGCGCGGTTTGCATTACATAACTCGGAATTGCAGAGGACACAGAGCTAATTAAAGTACTCCTTCCAGCGAGGGATAATGAATTCGTCTTCCACTTGTCAAGTTGGTGCTTTACTTTATCCACAGTCTCCTTGAAAGAGTCTTTAGTCACCTTTTTATGTAGTAGAGGAACACCTAAATACTTACCCAAATCAGCTGTCTGGGTGAATCCCATATAGGTATTGATTTCTCTACACCTATTGTGGTTAATATGAGGTGAGAAGAAGATACGAGTTTTCGACTCATTAACCTTCAATCCAGAAGATTTACAAAAATCAGCTAGGCATTTATGAATCAACTCTGCCTGTTCAAGCGAAGCTTCTGCAAACAAAATAATATCATCCGCAAAAAACAGATGAGAAATAGGAGGGCCCTTTTTGGTGAGTCGTATTGGCCGCCATTCTTCATTAATTAGCTTCTCTTGTATAAGATGAGCAAGCTTTTCCATACATATAACAAAAAGATATGGAGATATTGGATCTCCTTGTCGTACTCCTCTAGAAGAATTAAAAACATCCGCTTTGTTGCCATTCCATAAAAGTTGTAATGTAGCTGAACTAATACAACTTTCAACTAGTTCAGCAATATTAGAGGGAAGGCTAAGTTCTTTTAAACACCGGATCAAAAACTCCCA